CCCCCCACACGCACACACCTCCATAGCTACTAACAACCGAAGGTGGCCAGTGTAGAGTATTTCTGGAAAATGACTTTTTTAAAAGTAATATATCATTCCTGTGGGGGAGAAAAGCTTTTTTTTTTGACTGGGTTTTCCCTCCTCACCCTCCCTATCCCCTCCACCCCCCCACCCGCTCCAGCACTGACTACTTCCTCTTCCTTTCTCAGGCCCCTGCCAGCTCAGCCCCCTCCCTGAATCCTGAGGGCAAGGGCCCCGAGGGTTGCCAGATTTAGCAACAAATCAAAACAAAAACCCAGGCTTTTGAGTTTAGACTTGAAGACATACAAAGGATCATTTTTTTTAAGTATAAGTATGCCCCCAGGCCATATTGGGAACATACTTATGCTAAAAACTTATTTTTCGTTCTTAGGAAATTCAGATTTCACTGGCTATAACCCTGCCCAAGGGGACTGAGGAGGAGCGTGATTGAGTGTGAGCCCCGGGGTTAACGGATGATTGTTTTTCTGTCCTGGGAACTGGCTGACCCACCTCACGTCCTCCTGCAGCCCGTGGGGGCAGGGGGCGGGGCCAGATGACTGCCAGCGCAGCCGCGCGGGTGGGCGTGGCCACACCCGCCTCCCATTTTCTGCCAGATCCTGACGCAGACACTTAGTTCCTGATCCCAGTGCCCTGTGGGTGCTCAGTTTCCAGTAGTGCCGCTCCCACAGTGAGGGAGGGAACAAAGGGGTTGTGCAGCCCCCGCCAGCTGCCCTTGAAACCCATCCAGACGGTGGTCAGTTCCAGATTCTAAACTGTATATTTTTTTTCATGGTATTGTTAAAACAGCGAGGAAACATTAAAAAGCCCTCTAGCACACCTGGTGTCTGTCTCTGCTTCTGGGGAGGGTCGTTTCAGGATGTGGGTGGGTAGGGGTGAGGGTGCGGACCGGGGGTCCTGTGGCGGACAGTGCCCCTGTGGCGCTTGGCCCGAGGTGGCTTCTCTCTCAGGCCTTCTGGGGACCGCACCTGCACGGACGGCTCTCCAGCCTCCGCCAGGGCAGGCCCTTGGGGGCTCTGGGACTTTGGTGCCCCAACTGCCACTTAGCAGTCGGGGGCCCTTGCCTGGGCACTTAGTCACTTAGCTGCTTTGTGCCTCATTCTCATCTGTGAAATGGGAACCCTGCTGCTCCCACAGGGCTGGGTCACTGACACAATGTTTGCAGAGTTGTTATTAAAATGAGGGAGGCCGTGTTCTTGCAAGTCCCAGGTGCTGACACACGTGGGATCTGTCGCCACCAGGACACAGCAGGCGCCTTTTACCATGTGACCTGGAAAATCAACTTACAGGCGGTGTGATATCCTTCAGCCTCGTGGCCCAGTGAGGTAGACTCGGTGTCCCCATTTTAGAAAAGAAACATGCTGAGCAGCCATGTGGCCATTCTCCAAGTCACCAAGTAATCGAGTGAGAACATTACCGATTCAGAACTCTTTCGCCTCGCAGCTCAGAGGCGCCTTGTGGCTTCATTACTTGAGGAAACAGGTCAGGGGTGTGTCTGCCCAGGTCGAGGACCAAGTACCCCCCCCCCAGCCCATTCCGACCCCACTGGCCCTGCTCCTGCCTCACCACCCTCCCTTCCCGACACCAACCTTCCCCTCTGCTGTGCGTGGCCTCTTTGAGAAGAGAACGTCAGCCCGGGCAGGGCTGGCTCCGTGTGGCTGAGTTCCCGCCCCTGTCCCTTTCCCAAGCATCTGCAGAAAAGTCTGGGCTATATTCATCCTCTTCCTGGGAAGCAATTAGAAGCATCATTAAAATATCCCTAGACTGGCACATGTGAGCTATGAAGGAGTTAGAGCAGGCGGTGTGCTGGCCCTGAGGGGTGGGACCGGGGCACATCGCAGCCTGGCTGGAGTGATGGGGTCCCTGGGGGCTGCAGTCTAGCTCTAGGCGGTCAGAGAGAGGAATACACTGTTCAGCAAGGCCCAGACAGGTGCAGGGAGAACACCTGAGCAGAGGCTGTGCTTCCCAGGCAGCATAACCCCCCCCTTACCTGCCCCCCTCTCCCCATTTTACCCACAACCACTCACGCAGGATTCTTGAGGGTCTGGGAGAAGCCAGACACCTGGAGGCCCCAGACCTGCCTTGTGATTTGATGGAGAAATGCCATTCAGGAAGACCCTGGGGTCTGTGGAGAGACCTGGCTGGACCCACACCTTTAGGAGCAGGCATCCCGGTTGGGGGCTCAACGGGCCCACCAGACAAGTATGAGCTAACCAGGCACGATGAGCCCAGCCCCACCAGCTCCGATCTTGGTTTGCTGTGTGGCCTTGGGCCAGTTAGCTTCCCTCTCTGGGTGGCTTCCATGTCTCCAATTCTAAAACTTGGCACTAGCTCAGTTCTTAATTTTTTATCGGAAGTTTTATTTGCAATGAGGTCATATGTTTAACCCCTATACACAAACAGGCTCAGCCAGAGCTTCCCTGGGTGGGATTGGGTTTGCGGGGGTCCTTTCTCTCTGTTTGGTCTCTAAGATTCACCCGAGAAACCCAGGGCCCTGCAGAGCACCTCTCACCTTAAAGATGTTCTGTAGGGCCCTCTACTTCGATGACTCAAAGCAGGAGCCAGCCACTACTGGGTAATGATGCAGTAATTATAATTCAGATTGCAGCTAATATCTCTAATAATGTGATGGGACCCAAAGCCTCCTGCCCCAGTCATGGCCCTTAGATGCGTTAGTGCCAGCCCTGCCCCGGTGCAGCCATCATTGGGGCGTCTTCCTCTTCCCACCTCCCCACCTGTGAGGGGCTCTGCTGTCCTGTACTGGTAATGTGCTCAGGGCTGCGTGTTGCCTGTTAGGACTGCCATAGGCCACACACTGTTCTTTGTATTGGCCTCTCATGACAGCTCTGAGAGGCCCCTGTATTGGCCTCTCATGACAGCTCTGAGAGGCCCCTGTATTGGCCTCTCATGACAGCTCTGAGAGGCCCCTACTGTCCATATTACCCCCATTTCACAGGTGAGGATACTGAGGCAGCTCAAAGTGAAGGGACTGGCCCGGCCCCACTGGGATAGTCAGTGGAGGAGCTGGGACAGGCTCCAAGGCCCTTCCTTATCACCACTATCCCAGACAACACTCTGGGACCCGGAATAACCAGGTGGGGCCAGTGACACTGGCTGGGCAGAGACAGGCCCAACTGACAGCCTGGCTAGTTGGGGTGTGCCCAAGGGAAAGGGGGGTGCTACCTGCAATCAGGTGAGGCACTGGCAGCTCTGGGAACCCCTCAGCAGCAGCTGCTGTTCACATTGTCCAAAGAGCCCGGCAGCTAGTGCAAAGGCCACGCTCACTGGGCAGAGCAGACGCTGACCTTCCCAGGGCACTCAGGCTGGCTCTGTCTCTGCTGGGCAGAGCCAGGCTCCAGCTGAACCCCCTTGCCTCTCAAGCCTGCAGCCTTGGGCCTGTGTTCTGCTGGTGTCCCAGCTGGTCTCACGAGGTGCTCACATTCGACTCTATTCTCACACACAAAACGCACCAAACACAGCCCCTCCTCTTCACCAGGGTTCACCATGTCCCTACAAGAGAGTGGACAGAAGGAATAGAGGGTTTCAGGACACATGAAGGACATTTAAATTTCAGGGTCTGATTCACCACCTTCCTCCACGCTCATTTTACAGATGGGAAGACAGAGGCTGGGAGAAGACGGCACTGGCCAAAGTCTCATGAGTAGAGCAGAGCAGAGATTGTGAAATGGACTGGGCTGGCTTTGGCTCTGGCATGGCAGGTATGAGGGACAGGCTGAACCAGTGGACTGTGTGGAGTACAGCAGCTCCCACAGCTGGGAGTATGGCTATTGGGAGGGGGTGTGTGGGGTGACCTTTCCAGGGGTGTGTGGCACCCCCACCCCACCCTGCCTCACCTTGGCCTTCACACACAGATTCCTATAGTGGCCCGACTCCCTTCAACACTCGGGCAGGGGCCCTTGCTGGCCTGGCCCCTCTCTAGCTGTGATCACCGGTACACCAAAAAAATCTCTGGACCTCAGATCCTGATTGAAGACGCAGGAAAGGAAAGTTAGGAATAAAAACGGGAGAGTTTGTCTAGCTGCTTCTCCTCTAGGCCTTGTGGCCTTCTGCCAAGGGCCAGATGGGAGATTGGGGAGAACGTTTCGGGGGAGGGAAGGCATTTCTAGGCAGATGGATGTTGGTGGCTTTGCCTCTAAAACCTGTTGCTCTAACCCACGGAGCCGTTGTTCTTTAGGACAGAGACTCCCAGGAGGGGACTAGAGGAGCCGAGGAGAGCTTCTCGGCAGGGCTGCAGCCATGAGATGACACTTGGCATGTTCAGAAGCGCTCGTTAAGGCCACAGGGCTCTGCTGAATTTTCTTTTGTGCGTATGCCCTGTCTTGTTCCAAAAAAGATTGGAGGCAGCTTACAAAAATACGTAAATTACAATAGGATAAAAATAGATCAGAGGGAAAACAAGACTGGAACAAACAGTGCAATGAACCAAGAGGTTTGCTACATGAACTGGTCTCCGCGGGGGCCTCCACGGTTCTCAAAGGTGGGCTGCAAAGTGGGCTCTGAGCTTCCTATCAGTCAAAGCAAAGAGTGAAATCCGCCTGCTGTGAGACCCACAATGCCCGCGAGGTTGAAATGGTCCGAGAAGCAGCTCAGCTTTTTCTGACACTGGAGTCTGAGAGGGATTCTTGTGAGATCTTTGAAGGGGAACAGGGCTGGGGGGTCCCAAGTGACTCCTCAACGATGGTCTCATAACAGGTACAGTCATGTGAACCCCATCAGGCTGTTCTGCTCGGTAGGATTCAAAGGC